CTGTTGATCGCATTGTAGGAGAATAAGACTACGAGTATAAGAATAAACAAAGTGGACTTCATGTCTTCCTAATACATTGTCATGCTTCTAAACCAGAACTGCCTCAACACTGATGGCATGCAAGCCCGTATCTTTCCTACATCATCTTTGTAAAATATAGGAGCCTCTCATCTTGAACTGGTATCACCATTTGTGTTAGAGTTCCTTACTCAAAGCAAGATGAATCCCACCTGGGCAAGTGAAATACTTGGTCAATGGCTTAACATCATTCCACACATCGGAGGTGATGTTGCAAAGGTTATGGCTGCAGCTGCGGGTTCAGAGGCACATGATACTGTAGGACTTGCCAAAATAAGTAACATGATGAAAGATTATTTTACTTACAGTCTTACTAACATGATCTGCACTTGAATCAGAAAACCATTTTTAAAAAAAAATTAATGGAACAGAACATTTCGCACCAACAGTGGAGTTAATGCAAAAGCCTAACTCACAAGGAAATACTCGGACCTGTACTGTTCAACTCCCACATGAATGACAAATCAGTCTATTCTGGCACCGAGATTTATGTACACAGATACCTTAAGCCTCATGGTCCAAACTAAGACTCTCACCCACACTGAAGCATTGTTAACATCATTGCTATTTAGTCTCTTAATTTTTTTAATATGAAAATCAACCGCTAAATCAAAGGTTAAAATGTAAAGAGAGTTTCTTTCACTTCAGAAAGCGCAATAAGAACAAACAGCTCTGCATAATCTGGAACACCCACCATCAGCACTTGGGAGTGACCAGGGCTTTTCTCCCTGTGGAGAAGACAAAGATTAAGGTTGAAGTTCAGAACACTATGCTGAAGATGCTAATTTCTAAAGGGGCAACCAACCCAATAACAAAGCTAAAGACTGCATTTTACATTCCTATATCTTAATACACACTTCCACTACCGGAAAGGTCAGTATGTGAAAAGACATTAGAGATGATGTTGCAAGAATATTGGCAGTACATCACTACATAGGCAACTTGTGCACATATATGTTTATCACTATCTTCCCAAAGCTGCCCTACCGCTGGCCTTCAGGGCATGTTACTGAGATGGCCCAGTGTGTACTTTCTGTGTGGATCCAACACTTCCTCACTCCTAAACCAGAAATGAAGACATTATTAATGACAGTAAACCAAACAGCCTCAGTTTTGGTGATACAGATACGAGCCACTAGCAGTTCTCACTTTGTTTTGGTGCATGGGCTTATCTGGAATTTGTGCTGTTGTAACAAAGCAGAATCTGGGAACTACTAGGCATCTGCTTTATCAGAATAATTAAGAAAGAAATAGTTATACTGCGTTTGATGCCAAATCATAGTTTAATGAAATCTCCCGCAGCCAGTAGTTCTTCATAGTGCTATAAATGCTGACCATCTCAAAATGAAATGGTTCAATAGCTGACACTTTAATTTGTGCTGTCGATAGTGTCCTGTTGAGTCTTTCTAACAAGGAAAGAATACAGTCCTTACAATTAAGATGCAGGATTAAAACAGATGATGCACACTGCTGTTTAGTGTCCTACTATTGCTAATATAATGAAGAACATGCATGAATTTTCATCTGTATATGCTGATTTCCAGCTTTTCGCTGTGTACCCACACCTGAGGGATTTTTACGCTTCCTACCCTCGGGACCCACTGCTCAGTGGGGGTCTCTTCACTGAGCAATTGAGAAATGGGATACCCAAACCAGACACAGAATAAACTCATGGCAGAAAATGCAGCAACTTCAGCTTTCTCATTGCTCTCTGATAGCCAATAACGGCAAACTACTCCAGTGGGCTGGAGACAGTCTACTAAATAATTTACAACCTACAGCACATTCCTGAATGACTTTTTCCCGCACGGAAAATCTTATCTGGCCTCACAGAGAAAAAAATCCTCCACTGTTCCACTACCTCAAGCTAGAGATGAGCTTTGACTACTCCCAGCTAATGCTAATGTCTTCTAAAGAAATTGTGCTACAGTTTGCTCTAACTCTGCTGAATCCCAGCTTGGGTTTTAAATACACCTCTGAAACAATCATTATACCAACACAGGTTTTATCTACTACATTCATTGCCTGCATCTCAGCAGACTATTACCTCAAAAATCTGCCTTTTTAAAACATGGCATTATTCAATGCTACCTCATTGCTAGTCACAAAACTTTCAAAAAACAGGGGAAAACCCTCATCTAAGATGGTACACTACATTAAAATACCATGTTTTATTTTTACACTAGGATTACCATTCCGCCAGATTTCAATTGATTACTATGGACCATGCAAAATGCCACAGACCACGGAAGCTACATTTTAGAATGGATGTTTTTATTGATTAATCAGGCATTGAATCAAGTATTGTAAAATAAACAGATTTTGTTTGTTAAAAAAATGTCCAGAAGAATACCATTCATAGCAAACTTGTTTCCTCATAGTCATACAGAATATGAAATTGTTCAAGAAACAAGCAAAAAAGGAACACTTGACTAATTACTGTCATTCTGTGTGTGTGTATACATGTATGTATGCATATACACAAATTACATACCATATTTGTGTATATACAGGTGTGTGTGTACTCATACATATGAATACATATATACACAAACATATACACACAAAGAGTACTGGCTGAATGAATAGTCCACTGGAGAAATGTGGCTTAGCTCCAAATGAAGTAGTCTGTGTTAAAATAAAAATGATACAGCAAGGCCTGTAGATAACAGACTATTCTTTTTCCATTGGCCAAAACCATGATCTGTCTTTAGACTCACGGTCTATCTTTACAATGAAAATATGTGAGATCATTGGGGATCTTTCCAAATTCATGGTATTACTTCCAGCCAGCTCAATCTCTACCACCATTGTATGGCCAAACACTGAACCGTGTTTTCAGTTTGCCCACTACTGAAATCAGCTTCTAGATTTAATATTTCTGGCAAAAGAGAAGATACACAGCCTTGCTGCATGTACTTTGGTAATATACCCTTTTCTTTTAGGCAGAAACTTGGCAGTAATCCTACATTAAAACTCTTTTCTACCTGCATCTTTTTATCACTGCTTTGCATCAGTCATCTCCTGTAAACTCTTTATAAGAATTTTCATGCCTTCTTAGCTCTCTTCCAAAGATCCCAGGCCAGATCATCTGGGCAATGTACCTCAGATTGTATTAGTAGTAGCATTGTGATCAATTATAAAATGTAATGTTTGGGGATTTATTTACTTTTTCATTTTTGAGGGTACACATTATTATTAAAGAAACTATGATAAACACTGCAGTTCACTATATGTACAGATTTTTGCTTATTTATGTCAACTCTGGAAAGATAAGTGGGTCCTACCTGTGAACCATGGGATGCTGCCCCAGCTGAAAGCCATGGTACTGGCAACATACTGTCAGATTTTTCTCCATTTAATTCAGCATTTAGCAGGGCATGTAGAGGGAAATCAAAGGAACATGGATAGGTATTTATTTTCTATTAAAAAAAGGAAAAAACCCAAATAGGCATGTACATCTTCCTCATCTTGCTCATAAATTTTCTGCATTGTCATAAGGCAAACTGTAGTACAGCTTGGTACCTGGAGGATCAGTATTTTAAAAATCTGAAGCTGAGCTTGGGACCATTTTAGTTTGGACCCATTAGTGAACAAAGTGCATTAAGGCATCCTTTTCAAAAGACACCTAAATCATGGTTATAAATTACTGAGCAAATCTTTTCTTAAAGCTGGTATTCAATTTATCCTCTTTCTACACAGGCAGATTTTCACCACTTGCATAGTAGCAACAAAACACTGAAACAAAACCATTCTTTTAAACTTGTCATATGCCTCAAGCATCTCCCAAAATGATCATTTAGACATAAGCATTGTAGTAATTACAAAGGGCTTCTATTCGGTAGAAGGAAAAGAGAAAAAAAAAAAGCACCTGATTCAGCTTTGAGATAAAGTAGGTACAACCTCCATTGCCTTCACTGAAGTTCATCCACCAACACCAGGATGAACGTAGGGCCTGCCAGTGCAGATTCCTACTGCTGCCAAAAACTTGTTCTTTACTCCTCATTCACAAAGAGAACTGTGCTTTCCCAAACAACCCAGGACAATGATAACTATGAGCAAACACCAGCTGCGGTGTTTCTCCATACAGCACATGTAAAACAGATTTCCTTGCTTTGTTATAGAGACTACACAGGGTATGACAATGAAACATTTGTATTTAATTTAAAATCAATGGTAAAGTGGCGCTTGTCTCACTTCCGAGTTGTTGGCTGGGCTTGCTATGTTGAACCTTGTAAAATCAGCAACAAGCATTCACATGTCTACCATCAGAACCGTGACATCTTCTGTTGCAATCAATCCTTAAACGATGCTGTGCTTTATCAAATTAGTCTACAGTCAGACCTTGGATTGGCTGCTCTCCTCCAGTGTTGCTGATTCTCAGAGATGGTATCAGTCTTTCACATCCTCAGTGATTCTACAATGTTTTCCAAACACAAAGGCGAAGCACTGGTAGATGGGAATGTTGCCATCGATAAAATAAATCTCCAGATGATTTATCCACTCACATTTCTAGGAGATATTCCACATGTTTTTTTATGAACAGAGAGAACACTGCCTTGTGAACAGAGGTAAATTAAAATTTCTTCTTTTGCTGTGTTGGCTAGCTGCATTTCCTCACTTGTTTATTTTTGTTCTTTTCGGTCTGCACATTCCCATGTGCAAAGTAGAAATTAGGAGATCTCACACTCAATAAGACTGGCAATGAGAGCGCTAATATTGGCCCAAATAAAACCTGCAGTATACTGACTTGTCCACTGCACAGTTTTCATCCTTCCAATTTCCTGCTTTTAGCCACTGAAAAATAAAATGACGTAAAGGGCTGATGAAGCTTTAATTAATAGGACCATCACTGTGCAAAACAAATAAGTCATTTTCCAGGTCTCCAAACCAGGCTTTCCCTTCTCTCTCTTTTTTTTTTTTTTTTTATAAATAATTTATAAATCTTCCTGTAAGAGACTAAATACAAAACCAACCAACCAAAACCAACTTCAAAAGAAAGTTCTGAGATATTATTAAAGCCACTTCTTGTCCTTCCGTACAAAGTACACAGTAAGGAGATATTCTCCCCTTTTCAGTTCTGGCCGGATTTGGCAGTGACGGCCGGGATGCCGTGCGGTCCACCACCTCCAGACAAGCTCCTGTGGGCAGCCACCGGGCCACCCTGGGAAAGACGCGTCGTCCTACCTTTTGGCTTTTAACAGTCACGCGAGCTGCTCGGAGGAGTCTAGGTGGTCAGGGATAGGCAAGCCAGTTATTATGGTCAAACACTTATTCCACACAGTGAATGTGGGGCACACCGGCTGCCCAAATGTAATGTCAAAAGTGTAAAGGTGTAGGGAGTTCAAAGCATCGTAGAAAGCAAGGGAACCATTGTCATAGTCCAGCAAAATCCCAACCCGCCGGAGGTGAGGTGCGGGCTCGATGGGGATTTCTTTGCTGTTGTGCCGCACCACCCATGTGTTATTGCAGCGGCAAAGCACCCAGGAGGCAGAATTCTTCCCGATCCACTCGTGCTTTGGTGCTGACTTGTAAGAAATACCAATGGCATACCTGCAAAACAAAAAACATCTCAAGGAAACAAATGCTTCCTGCCACGTTTGTCTCTCGATGAAGTCAAATGTTAGCCCAGAAGACTCACTGGAATGCCCCAGCCTCTTATTTCTCCTGGTTAAGTTCTAATTAAGTGACGTTCCACCGAAATATCTGCACAGGCTTAATTACTGTTTTTCCCCCTATCGCTCTTTTGGGTCTTAGAGGTCACAGAAACTTTATTGTTCCTCACATTGTTTGTAGTTTGGCTGCTATGGTAATTTTTTGGAGCACTCACCTCTGGTGTTCAAAAGCAAAATTGTTGAGTACTCAGAAACTCAGAGTTTAAATCAGTGGGCCTCAAATTTCCACTTCCAAACAGATGAATACAGAGGAATTCATTGATTTTAAAATACATTGCTATCTGTCAGCTAATCTGATCTCTCCTTGCTCCTTTAATATATAGCCCAGAAGAAGGAATGCAAGAGTAAACATCAAAGGACACGTTAAAAAACCCATTTTTGCCATTCCCAAGTATGTTTTGCCAGATGTTGGTGAGGTTTTTAAATTCAAATGAGCATTTTTGAGACTGGGTTTTGGGCCAAGCGAAGCAATTGTAGGTGAAGACATTTGCTCTGCAAACCATAATTTATGGTGAGATGTGCAGGGTAAAAGGATTGTGAAAATGTTCTCATTAATGGACACTGAGGGCAAATACCTGATTTCTCATATATAACAGAACTGTAAAAGTTCCTCACGTTCTAGACACACTCCAGTATTTGTTGAGCTTTCAACCAACAGAGATTAATGTGCCATAAATTACTCTATTTCCATTCCTTAGCATTGGTACAGGCAAACAGCATTTTTCTTGTTTGAGACAGCGGGCGTACCTGAAGACCTTACCGATTTTTCCATTCCATTAATTTCCATCATGATTGCTGCCTTTGAATCCCAAAGGATGACATCTCTTCCACTGACTAAAGGGCCTCTGCAATACACCCCTGAATCACACAGAGGATCATTCAGGAGTGGAGGAATGCACTCCTCCATTTCCTGCCCCTTGCTTCAAACCCTGGGGCACAGACCTACAGCTCTGCTGCTCGGCGCCCCCTCCCCAGAAGCAAATCTGACCTCCACCCCTGTGAAACTGGATCATCAAACTGTCCTCATATTTTTTTAAATTTTTTTTTTTTTACTGAAGGATGCTAAGATTTTTCATGTTTAGTAAATAAATGATCACACTTACAAAGTTCACTCTGTTGTATAAACAAGATGAAACTTTGTGAGCTCTCCAATTTAATAAAATCTTAAAATTTACTGTATGTATGTGGGTTCAAAAAACAACCATCCTGAATCATGAAGGAAAAGTCCTGTGAGGGCTGCTAAATATAAAGATGCTCTATCGATCAGACTTAGTTCCAGAGTCTGAAAGTGCTGGAGACTGGGAAAATAGTCTGACAAACAATGTGAAAGTATGTGTTGGTCCTGCTCTTGTACCATTCCCCATGCCTCTGCTACTGGTCTCTGTCAGACAAACTGTGCTGGAACCTTCACGGACTTTTGGTGTGAACTAGCGATTCTTTTCACATATATTTTTATATACCTACCACGTACTCCCACTTATAACCACTTCCCAGTAATGCCGCCCACTGTCAATGAACACATTGCCAGCTACTCCGTAGCTCCCTTGGCTTGTGAATCGCTCCGGTGTGTGACTCTTCTTGGAGGATGTTTCATCACGTTCCACTGTCAAGTTATCATGAGACACTTTCAATTTTCTATGAGCAGATTTGGGGTCCAGTTTAAATGGCTGACCTAGAGAGGCAGAGACAAAGATGGCAGAAGAATGGTTTGGCTTTGATTTTGGAAAGGAGAGTGGATTAGTGAGCCTCTAAGAAGTCCACAAGATTACATAACCATATTAATCTCCTCCTCTGAAGCCTCCTTGAGATAGACTAACCTATTCTGCTCCCTGCAATAGCTAGTTTGCATTGTCAGTTTACTGTCAATCTCATTGTGCACTAACTTCCCCATGTCGATAATCCCTGAAAAGAGCCCTGCATAATCATCATGCCCATTATCTCTGACCTAGAAGTAACCCAAATACTCTAATTCTTGCATGTAATTGAAACCAATATACATGCTAATAAAGGTCTGAGGGTTGCTTTTTTCACAGCATATTAGATTTAGAATAAGTTGCATTTTATTAATTCTCTAGGGACAAAGCTCCATAATAACATCTTCATCTTTACTACTAAAAAGCATGATTTCAAATCCCACAAAATTAGTTTGAAAATAAGAAGAAGCACTAGCCTTGTCTGCTCATTCACTCACAGCTTTATTTATAACAAGCACAGTCAACAATTCAGGATCGCTTTGGAAGGATGCCCATGTGGCGCTGGATACTGTGCATTAAAAAGAAGGAAGTGAACTGTAACTTGGTCCAAATAATATGGTGTAAAAACATTACTGAGGCTGTTGCTCTTGGCAAGTACCTTCGGCTGTAGCACAAGGGTTGTAGACAATAACAGGAAGCTTTTTGGTAAACCAAACCCTGTAGATATACAAAGCCCACCACAATTCTGACAGGCTTGCTCATTGTGTCAAAAAGCAGAATGATCATTTACCTCCACCAGGAGACAACTAGGAAAGTATGACTCTATGAGTGGTCCAGCAAAGTCCTTTTCCCTTCTAACTGTCTTTCACATCAAGGGAAGAAAAATGAAAGTGGAAGATTTGATGACATGCACAGAAAACAGAAACGAGCACTTTCATGAGATCTGTGTGAAGCACTGACACGTGTACTGCAAATAAGATGCAAACTGTTCAAAGTTTACAAAGGAATAGTTAAGCATTTCTCATGCAGTAAACCTGAAAACTTTAATGTGGGGGCTAAGAAGAAATTAAGTTCATCTGAACAGTAACAGTCAATATGTGTTGGTTCAGAGCTCTAGGCAATCTGAAAATGCAGACATTTAAAATGGGAGATGATTGAGGCAATACTAATTCTCAATTAACATTATTAAAGATGGGTCAGGAATTAGATAAGGAGTAGTCGGTAGCACTAAAATACCTACAGCCTCCCTCTCTAACTGGTTAGTAGTCTTTGTGCTGCTGAAGCAGTATCTGAAGGATGTCTTTCTCCGTACTGAAGTGTATCTGGTCACATCATTTCTCACAGTCACCTGAGGGATTGCTTTTGTGCCATACTGGGTCACAAAGAGACAAAAGGATAAAAGATTGCCATTTCCAAAGGGGTCCTCTGGTTATGCGTTTGCTTGTAGGTTACCAGGTTTAACAACAAGCAGATTCTTGGTAGCAGATGTGGGGTTTGTATGAGCAGCTTTTACACAGAAATGCAAGCCAGGTTAATAGCAGAAAGGGGAAAATGAGAAATGTGTATGTGCCATTCCCTGCAGCCTCCTCCTTGCAACATTCAGTATCGTCCCTCTTCGAGCACCCGCCCCTACAATAAGCAGATTTCAGAGGATGCACAAATCCCACTGTTCCCTTTCCAGTGCTCAGAGCTGCCTGTGATGACTACATGACTGAGGGGTTGGCTGGGACGCAAGAAGAAAAAGGCTGAAAACCAGTCTTAAAATTGCTATACTACATCTGCTAATAATTTGTGTAACCATTGTTTTTTTGAAGTGGAATCTCTGACTACTCTACCACCTTGTTGAACTCCATAAAAAACTGAGGGAGATGAAGTTAAGAAACTTTTCCAGTGTCCTAAGAAAGAGATAATTTTGGAGGATAAAATTAAACTAGCAATTATCTTATGAACATTATACAAAAATAAAATGTTTTATTGCAAACATAAGAAAAGTTCTTGCTTTGTAGAGGAAAAAGAATAGAGAGGACATTAAAACAAAACCACAAAAGAGTATTTTCAATCATTTCACATGTGATGCTTTGTTCCTAAATGATATTTCCAGTGACCAAACTACAGATGCATCTCTCTCAAAAAAAAAGTAATTTCTGCACTACTGAAGACTCTGGCAATCTTGAATTAAGTTAAATAAGTGGCTTTCATTGTGGGAAGCATTTTAAACAAGTTAAACTGCTCTGTACTCTTGTATCTTCCAAAGATCAAACCTAAAAAGGAAGACAAGAAAGGAGAAGAATGCGTGCGTGCCAGATTTCGCATTACTCACTGTTTGTCTTGAGTTTGCCAGGCTCGCTGCTTCTGCTGCCCGCCTGATTAATGGCCTTAACAATGAAGATGTACTTCGTGCCACTCTGCAACCCATGCACTGTGTAGTGGTTTTGTTTGATATTGGGAACAATCATCCAGCTGTCGGCTGAGTTGCATAAACCTGCAATTTCAAACAGAGCACATTAGTCATACCACACTAAACACTTTCTAATGAAGGAACATTTACAGCACCCAAGGACTGATAGGAATTTTATTTCTGTACCTTCTAAAGTGTTGTTACATTCACTGAGTCGCTACTTAATTCCACTAATTCATTTCATCAGCCCTCAGCTGAAGTACCTGTGCTGGTTTCGGTTGAGATAGAGTTAATTTTCATCCCAGTAGCCAATATAGTGCTGTGGTTTGGATTTAGGATGAGAATCATGTTGATAACACACTGATGTGTTTAGTTGTTGCTGGGTGGTTGTAGTGCCTACACTCAGTCAAGGACTTTTCAGCTTCTCACGCCCTGCCAGGTGCAACAGAAGCTGGGAGAGCACAGCCAGGACAGCTGGCCGGGCTGGCTAAAGTCTGTTATACTTCCCTACCATAGAGCATCATGCTCCCTATAGAATTGGGGAAGCGAGCCGGGAGGCACAATCACCGCTAAGAAACAGACTGGTCATCAGGTTGTTTTTGCAGGTGGTGAGCAATTGCATTTGTGCATCACTTGTTTTATATTATTATTGTTGTTGTTGTTATTTTCCTTTGTTATCTTATTAAACAGTCTTTATGTCAACCCATGAGGTTTTTTCATTCTCCTCCCCATCCCACTGCAGGGAGGGGGAGCTGAGCGAGTGGCTGAACCTTTTAAGTTCTTGATATGTGAAGTCAACCATAAAAAATGACAATTTAAGAAACGACTCAGTGGAGGCATGAGCAGTCTGAGATTTTCCATATCCCGGCACAAGGAATTCTTTATTGCTTAAGAACTAGAGGATTATGGAGATCCCATCAATCTACCATTTGGATTAATGAACTCAGTTTAAGGCTCAGAAAACTAAGGTAAGCAGTAATGCCAGGGGGGCTGGGGAGGCACCTTTGCTGACAGTCCCCAGGTATGCATTCTTCAGGACCTGAAGCAAATCATGGGAGGCCAAACAGGGTAGAGCGCGGGCTCCAGAGCAAGTTTGGCTCTTACACTCCAGACTTTGCCAGGATGTAATCTAAGCCAGTAAATTTAATGGATGCAACTTTCTGATTTATGTCCTCATGGTTAGATGTCAGCTGGGGAAGAGTTGGATAATTTTCCAGTTACAAACTTTTTGGGTTATGTTTGATGCCTACCACAGAAGTATAATATGTAGGAAGTAAGTAAAATAAGGAAGGAGAAATATCATCTGCAAAACAGGAAAGTACTCCATTAAGATGAACTTATTCGTCTATATAAATTTTTCCTACTGTGAGATAACACTGCAATGGCAGTATACATTTTGAACAGTTCCTGGTTTAATGGATCCCCAGTCTGATAGCTCTCTTCTTAAAAATGTTTACATAAATAAAAAATTTAACATTCATGAAGTGTATATACATTCACAACCTTTTATATAGCTACACAGCTAGAAAAAGATACATGCAAGTGGAAGTGTATGCATGCGTGTAAGACTGGATTAGGAACCTGACAGACTTACTGGTCTCTGCCTTTACTGCACATAGAACATGTTATGAAAGCTATTGTGTTATGAAAGAATAGCTTTCAGCTTTTAACTCATGTTTTACCAGCAAACCAGTAAGTACTAGTGCAGAGAACCTTTTAGAAGTTAGGAGTAATTTCAGCTCTGCATATTAGGTAATACAAAATCTTATTGTAAAGTAAAAATTAAAAGGCTGCTGGGCAGAAAACTTGAAAGAAAAAGACCTGTGATACAGACTCATAGACAATTCATAACCATACTGGGAGATTCCTTCCTCATTTGGAATGTGCTTTTCATAACAAAAGATTGTTAGAAACAGAACTCTTATCCCAAATTTCAATCTAAGAATTATGTAGCTTTTATCTCAAAGTTCTCTTATATTACATAACATCCTTGAGAGAAAGGCAGCTGTTCATCCTGCTGTTCAAATGGGTAACTGAGGCACAGTTTTAGGTGGGACTCATATCACCTTGGCATCTAATGAAAAGCTGCAATGCCTAATATATTTTTCTGGGCTCTGACGAGAGGCAAAAATCAGTGAGTAGTTTCTTTCACTTCTCCAGGTGTGAACATCCTACCACAAGAGCCTCTCTTTTCTCAGCCACAGAGGAAGCCTAGGTGACTAGCGCATGTGAGATGTCTAACTTCAGGTGTTTGAAATGAGGTGAGATAAACCTGCCCGACACTCTGATTTTAAGTCTGGAAGTCTAAACCTGTGGCTGAGTTCACACATGGGTTGTGGCCTTTGGACCATGATTTACCAGAATAAGAACATTTCTTTGTGGCAGTTTCCTGGTGTAACGTGAGAAAAAAGAATTCTAGTGTGTTCTTTGTGCTCCATCCCGTGAACATCCTGACCACATATAGCCTCCCTATATATCAGCTACAAGGGATTCAAATGGTTTGCTATATGTGAATAGAAGCAGCAAAAACCAACATCGCAGCACTGTTTTTCTCAAGACTATTGAAAAACTAGATCATATAGAGCAATCATCTGTCTGCCTCCTGGGAAAAAAGAACCCAGTGTTATACTCCATGAAAACCCCAGTTGTGCCTAGCACCCGTAGTAAACTGCTCATAGCAACATCAGTCCACATCTTGTTTCACTGAACCATACCTACTGAAAGGTATTTATTTTTTTAGGCTGGGTGTGAATGGGTTTCCTAAGAGGAAGAAAGGAAATAAAAGCAGCAGTTTCCTCGCATAAAATATTTCACTGACTGCTCAGAGCAATCCTCATCTTTTCCCAATAAAAATTTGCCACAGGTGTTAGAGTAAAGGCACAGTTGTTCTGTAGCTGAACTACCACATTGATACCATCACTTACCTGACTTGTAGGTGCTATTGCAAAATAAGTGTTAACTTAAAATAAACCGAAATGAAGCACTGGATTTAGAGAGAGCCCGGGATGACCAAGAAGTACCTCTGATGGGGTATCAAATAATATATGACAGTGAGTGGCATGAATCCAGACAGTGGTCCTGGAAGTGTCTTCTCCTTCAACAACCATGCTCTGAAAGCAAAGGCCTATGGTATACCTAGGCCATGTATAAACAAACCCTTATGCAGACACAGAAATGACCAGGATTTTTACTAAATCATCTCAAAACTAGATTTGTATTAGTCACTACAATTCTCTAAAGGGCACATTTTTCAGACTTGCATTACACTTTTTATCTTACCCTCTAGAGGCTGATCGCTCCTTAACAAGGTATATAACTTGGATCTAAATAGATATATGAAGGACTGTAAAGGTACAGCTGCACTGCTATGAGTCTCCTCTCCAGTCTTTCTTTTCCTCCCATGTATGTGGATTTACATACCTGATACTCACTAGTCTGTAAATACTCACACAGGGTAAATTATTATATTATTAAATAATCCAGTTAATGGCTAATTTAGATTTCTGTACAGAACGCAGAGCCACAATAATTTTAGGTATTGCTACATATTGGCTCCTGCTGCTGGGGTTAATGGCAAAATGCTCACAGGCAGGTGTACGTTCATCCCACCTGACCTCCAACAAAGAGGAGAGTTCCTGAGCTAGGACCTTACCTACCCTAAAATATCTGCATAGTCAATAGAGAAAGTTGAGAACCCTTCGTTTGACCTGATTCATGTTCTAAGGGAAGACTCTGTCCTCTTTGATGACACAAGGCACGTTGGGTTTCTTTTGTTTGTCCTTCCAGTCTTAGGCACCCCAGACTACCAGTGTACAATAAATGTTGGATGTGCAGTGACTGACTGGGTTACTTTGCTCAACAAGCCTTGCTGTCCCAACAAACTCAGCTCTTGCCTCTGCACCAAGGGGCTCAGTGATATATCCATGTGATTCCTGACTGTGAGCTATTTGATAACAGGCTTTAAACTGAACTTTGATTCTAGAAATCTTGGGAATGAAGCTTTGGTGGTGTCAATCTACAAGTCCAAAATCCTTCAGAATGGAGAATAGTAACTAGTGGCAGCCAAGTTAAGCATTTAGGTATGAAAGAGTATTTTGTCACTACATCAAAAGGATTTGTCTCCAGTTCTGCCCTATCAGGACAGCCTTTCTTCTCTGAATACAAAAGATGATTAAGAAAGTTCAGGGAAATGAGGAAGCAGCCTGGTAACGTGGGTATCGGGGGCTAGCGTTTACCCCCTCAGCTCCCTGCCGGTGGCAGCAGGCTAAGTGGAAAAGCACACATCTTCTCCTCAGTGGCACAGCAGCAGGAGCTAAGGGTCTTCTATTGTACGCACTCCTAATCCAGGCTACATTCAGGTTTCTTGTTTCAAAACCCAGGGCTTTTTACAGAATTATGCAGGTGGTAAAACAATGTATTTTAAAACTGTAGCCTACAAAAATGTAGAGAATTTAAATTACATCCTGGAATCGTGCAGTGAGCACAGTGATGTCCATACAGGATGTGTGAGTTTTCAAAACAAGTTTCTCAGAGTCTGGAGGTAATAATTTGTAAAGCTATTTCCCTGGTGCTGGCTGTTGATGCACTTTAAAAAAACAGATGGGAAAAATCCCAAGGTGTAAATCCTCCTAAAATTTACACTGGCAGATTTTAATAAAATATATCTTCTTGAAAACTGGAAGAGGAGCACAAAAGTCATGGGAAGGTTATTTAATCTCTTGAGTATTTTAATGATTTTAAAATGCTTTATTTAAATAAATTATTACCAATTGAAATTGGTAGAACAAATACAGTAGGTAAAGGTAACAGATAGCTCTCCACCCCCACTCTGCATTCCCACGTTAAAGAAAATAATAACGCAGGATTTCTGCAAAACACATCACTTTTTTTTTTTTTAAGAAATACACTCTTTTTATACTCTTCAAGAGGCAGAAGTTGTCTTTTTTGAGCTTTTATCTCAAACTTGCTTTTGTGCCATTAAAACATACTCACTAAAATCCTCAGTAGCAATCTGAAGATTGTAAGGAATCTGTTTTTAATAAATTAATTGCAGAAACAGACAAAAGCTAGAATATTAAAAAAATAATTGGTGAATCATTAACTTATTGTTTCTCATGGAAGCTTGGGCTTCTAATTGTCTTAGATCTTTCAGCAAAATTGTATCCCACCTCATAGGAAGAGTAACACTGGGAAGGTTCTGACAGTACAGTGTATCTTTAACACAGTGAATTTTAGTATTTAGCCAATGAAATTAACTAACTAACCTAAATTCCAGTTACTGGGAAAGAGAGAATTATTGACTGTTTTTGTCTTGAAGAGACAGAGAGATGTGTTTTTCATGAAGACATCTTGTATTGCAGCTATCAAAAAGCGGGGTGTTTAAATTTTAACCTTCCTGAAGCACACTGAAGCAATTCCATGATGTTAAAAAAATGCATACTCAATAAATACTTGAAAATTTATTGAAATGGCTAATGAAATTATAATGCATGTTAGCTAGCTAGTGACAAAGTGATGTTAAAAGTCTTTACAATATTCAGATTGCAGGTGATTAGCTGCCTCTCAGAAATGCAAATGTGTGAATGGTACGACTGAGAACAACTGCTTTAGTAAAAGCCTGCTTAATTTAAAGTTCTGTATTGCTCTTATGCACAGAACAGGGCTGCCAAACATTTAATAGCCAAGCAGTTTGGCCACATTTGGAAATAATCTTTCCTGTATGAAATAGGATTCAAAATGAAATACTCTAGTTGGATCTTTTCCATCAAATGTTAACTCTCCAATTTTTCAGTTAATAAAAAAGAATATAGTTGATTATGTTGGATAGAAAATACACTAGAAAAACACAGCATTTCTTGTTTTTCTTACTGAATTCTTAGCAATCTCTGAATGATATATGCCTCTGGTGAGGGAAATGTACTGGGGAGTGGAAAGTGCAGTCAGTCTGGCTATGTGGTTTTAAGAAACGGATTCCAAAATAACAACTTCCATTAGCACGGTAGGTGGGTATGTATGCAAAGTGATTCCTATTGTCTCAGGGGAAAAAAGCTTGTTGGTTTAATGCAGTACTCTAGCTACTCCCTCGTGACTAATTCATAGCTACAAAAACACAGAACTGAAGATGATCTATGAACTTGTTTACATTATCTGCTACAGGCAACACACAATACCAATGGAAACTTTTTGGGGTATGACAGAGAAATAAATTTTTAAAAATAATTATGTGCAACAGCATGCAAATGCCATAAATAGAAAGAAATTTGTGGTCATCCAAAATCTCTTCCATTAAAACAGGATTTGAAAAAAAAGATCACCTAGCCTCAGTTCATCAAAACACAGTGGCTGCAGTGCAGTACCTGCTAACGCCACTTACAGTGAAAATAGCTCTCTGTGTTATACCACACTATTAGGGTACACTTTGATACTCTAGGGGCAATCATGGAAAGTCATCTATAAAAGTTGGGATATCAGACCCTTATGCAGGACAAAGAATATAATGCAACAAAGTGAAGAAATATCTGAGCAGTGTTCTGAGTAAAATCAGGAGTTTAGTGGGCAAATCTCCAATACCGTGGAAGTTGGAATGAACTAGGAACTCCCCATGTGTTAGAAACCTGGGCAGATCTGTACCAGTTAGATTTGGCAGGAACATCTCCATTGGAGGTGTTCAAGTCTACATTAAATAATGAGATTAGAAAAAAAAAGCTTTACAACATTTAGAAAACTTTTCCACATATACTTATATATGCATGTATTTAATCTGGGTTAATATTATAGCTTTCAATTAAACTGAAACTAACAGCCAGGATATTTGTGTAAGAGTTATTGCATTTTTTTTTTTAAAAAAAAAGGCCAGTTCTTTCATTTCTTTCTACTATCATTTAAGATCTGCAGAGCATTTTGTAAACAAAGTTTCTTACAGTGTTGATTTGTTTTCTCTTCAAACTTTTGATAACATTTTTGCAAAGTGATAAAATGAAAGTTCAGACTGCACACTAAGCACTTCATGCTATACCCCAAAATTATCATATTACATCTCCGAAAGTAGACTAATTGATACATCTTTTGCAGATCAAAGCTTTTGCCTTCACATGGGAAACCTGCAATACAGCCTAAAAATGGCATACCTTGTTATTTATTCTCTAGTAAGCAAAGAGTAAAACCCCATATCACAAAGGTGTGGAAATGGCACACCTTTCTGCTGCCGTGTTCACACGTAGTGCCAATAACTGACTTGCATAAAGCCTTCTAACATAAAGCCACAGATGAAAATGGATCAGAAAACAAGCACCGTACTGCATTATCATTAATACCTCTCTGCTTAGTAGTGATTAATCAGGGAAGCTCTTCCTTCCTTATCTATCATGCTCCAATTTGTTCCAAATTACTATTAGACCTTTTTTGTATCCAGCTTGCTCAGATGGAGCATCTGTTGAAGGTTACTTGGTCTTTTCGGTAGTCTTAAATTTTACAGGGTGTTGTCCAAAATTAGGCTGTTTAGTGAAATACTAAATGGAGGTTTCAGCAAAACACTCATCAAACTTTCAACAGTCCACCTGATTTTGCAGTCAATCCTGAATACCATGATATATTCACAGTATGCTACTTAAAAATGGTTTTAAAATGCCAGTGCATGATGCCTCAGATATCCTTTCAGATGGCTTGGAGAACTAACTCCAATTTAGCAATGGAGAAAATGAAGTGCTCACACCAACAGAGGAGTCAGTGCAAGAGTTTGGCTCAGTACTGAGACTTGGCATAGACCATACCATTTTTCTGCTGATATAAAGTATGTAAACACATCCACAGCACTGACTTTCATCAAAGCATCTCAACAAAATTTGTAAGAACGAAATCATTTCTGCGCTGGGTCAGAGCTAAGCCTATCTAGCTCATTGCGTGCCTGGGGTATCTGACAAAAGTGAGAGCGTAGGAAGGTGTTAAGGAACAGGGAAAGCACACAGTGATCTCTTCTCACCCTGCTCTCCCAGGCTCCAACAGCTTACAGCTCAGGGACTTCCTGAGCCAGGAAGAAGTCTCTGCACTTCATTGTTCTCAGTGGATTTTTCTTGCATGATCTGTCCAGTCATTTCTTGAACTCAGACTTTTAATCAACAACCTTCTGTGGCAATGAGTTCCAAGTACATGTTGAGTGAATGAACTCCACCTTTTGATTGATTTGGTTCATTTCAGTATCCTTCAGTTTCATAAAGCAAGTACATGTCAGCTAGTGGCATTCCCCTCAAACATACAGGGAACAGGAAGAAGTTAAATGATTTCTCCAAATTCATAGTCAATGATTGCTATGCACTGAACCCAGAAGTGTTGGCTTCCTGGCCAAAGGTTAGACAATATAATTTTCTCGGAGGAATAGTTATTTAACAACAAAACAATCCAAGGAATAATCAGTAAGCTTGTTCATTCAGGAAAGTCACAAATTCAAAACAGAGAATGTATTTAATAAAAAATGTGCTATGACACATTTGACAGTTACGTCATTATAAGTTGAACAAAGTCACCATATTAATTGTTGCTCCCCTGATGTTTGCTGCCCTAGCCTTTGGTATACTGACACCGATGCTTTGTAGCCTTGAAGACAGTAAAAATCAGAGGGAAGGACTTAATCTGTATTTCTGACACAGGTACATTTGCCAAGGGTATCTAAATGACAATGGGGCTGCAGTTCTAACTAATGACCAGTTCAACACAGACCTGACTAGCCCAAACAATGGAAAAGAGGAGGTCTTTATCCCTGTGGCTACATCTGCAACAACAGACTTAAGATGTAAGAAACAAGTTGAGAAGTGGGCCCATGTGAACCTCATGAGGGTCAACAAGGCCAAGTATAAGGTCCTGCACCTGTGTCAGGGCAACCCTGAGTATTAATAAAGGCTGGGGAATGAAGGGATTATGAAGTCTTGTGGAGAAGGATTTGGGGGTGTAGGTTGATGAGAAGCTCAACATGACCTGGCAATATGTACTTACAGCTCAGAAAGTCAACTGTATCCTAGGCTACATCAAAAGCAGTGTGACCAGCCGGTCAGGGAAAGTGATTCTGCCCATCTACTCTGTTCTGGTGAGACTCCACCTGGAGTTACTGTGTCCAGCTTGGGGGTCCTCAGTACAGGAAGGACATGGACTTGTTGGAGTGGGTCCAGAGGAGGGCCACAAAAATGATCAGAGGGCTGGAGCACCTCCCTGTGAGGACAGGTTGAGAGAGTTGAGGTTGTTCAGCCTGGAGAAGAGAAGGCTTCAGGGAGACCTTACTGTGGCCTTTCAATACTTAAAAGGGGCTTATAAGTAAGATGGGGACAAACTTTTTAGTATGGCCTGCTGCAATTGGACAATGGTTTTAAACTAAAAGAGGGTAGATTCAGACTATACATACGGAAGAAATTTTTTACGAGGGTGGTGAAACACTGGAACAGGTTGCCCAAAGAGGTGGTAGATGCCTCATCCCTGGAAACATTCAAGGTCAGTCTGAATGGGGCTCTGAGCAACCTGATCTAGTTGAAGATGTCCCTGCTCATTGCAGGGGGAGTTGGACTGATGACCTTTAAAGGTCCCTTCCAACCCAAACTATTCTATGATTCTACAAGTTCTGTTAACACGGACAGTACTTGTGCCTCTGGGAATATGTGCTGGTTTTAGTCTTCACAAGCTCTCACTACATGGCAGTACCAGGAAACACACAAGAAATTTTAAATGAATGAATTCTGAATTTTAAACCCCTTCAAAATCATTATTTGTTTGGATTTAAAATTTTGGCTTTAAATCTTCCTAAAAATATTTTTGCCTTTTGTTCTAGACATACAGGTACATTTATATTTAAAGGCATTTGGTTTACAGAGAAACCATAAGGAAACAGAATTAGAAAAGAGAAAGTTTGTACTTACTAACAACATTAGCTTGTCCGGTGAAGATGGTGTACTGCAGTTCATAAGAGACCACACTGAACTCATCATCCGATGTCCAATGGACAGTAATGGTATCATAAGAAGCTGTGCAGAGCTCTTCTCGAATGGTGGGTGGGTTGGGAGCTGTGAGATACAACAGAAGAGGTTTACTGATGCAATCAGTAAAATATTTCCTTCTCAACTGAGTTTAGGGGATGCATCTGACATATAAGTTTGCAGCCATACCGTCCAATAGACTTTTCAACAACATTTCACTAATTGCAGTAGTAACTTACATGATCAATAAATTGTTGCAAAGGAATTGTTTTATCAATATAACCACATAGGAACTCCTGATTTTGAAAATAATTAGTATTAAAATAGCTTTAGTTTCAAATGCCCCAGCACAATTGATGTGTTAGTGGTCACATTAAACTGTGATTAATGGGTACAATTGACTTGTTATTTTTTCTAGGTTTGTTTCTGACCATCACACTAAAATTATCAAAGTTTCGTTGAAGCATATATCAATAGGAAGAGTCAACACTCTTCACTGTTGACTTGAAAGCAGTGTTTGCCTAGCCTATCTTACCATAGATTGGCTAAATGGTATTTAAAAAATATAATTTCGGGAAAGCCTCCAAACACTCATGCTTTCATGCTCAATCTCTCCAAGTTAATTTTTATTTATTTCCTAGCTATCCTTTCTAATATAGATGCATATAATTTCTGTTGGCTATACAACTCACTTTTTTTCAGCCTTACATAAAAAGCTCCTATCATAACATCACGACCATATGAGTATTACAACCTAAACTTCAATGTCATTGCTAATTAAATAATTCTAGGAAACAACCCAAACACTTTAATAAAAAGTTGTCCCTCTGGTTGGTTTTGGTTTTTTGTTTGTTTGTTATTTTAAATCAACAAACAAGATCTCTGTGTAGCAAGCTATACATTCTTCTCCCATATTAACACACAGGTTTCTTTTAAAGACCTGTTTAAAGAAGTGAAACTTGAAGCAAACTTCTTAGGTCTAAATTTTCTTTGTTTGTATTCTCTACAAAGCCAAGCACCAAAATAAGAAACAAACGAGTCTTTCTTTGAAAGACTGGTGCGCCTTCCTGCATACTTGTCTCAGTGGGAACCTCATTTCTAATCATCTTCCCTACATGCTACACCATCATGCAAAAAATAAAATTAAAAAAAAAAAATCTTTGTGCTTACTAGTGTTCCCTCCAGCTGTCACAGAGTGAGGAAGGAGGGCACTCAAGCTGAAACAACCACAATATGCTTGAATTAAAGGAAAAGAAAGGCCACTCTGAAAGGTATTTTTGCTGTCAGATCTCCAACTTTCGTTAGCCACAAATAATGGCCTCAAAAACAGTGCCTTTGAAGGAATTCCACCTTTACTTTGGCAACAACCTATTTTTATGAAACATCTATTTTACTTTCCATTAAGAATTTTTATAGTTCATGTCCCTGGTTTACTGATGTATGTTTCCAAGGACTAAAGTGCAGATGCATTTCCAAGCAGCCTCTTTCAACCAAGGGGCATAAGGAAACATTCAAATGTGTTTCATGATATGACTGTGATTTGTGATGCTCTAAATATTGTAGCACGGAAGCTTACCAATGCGTTTGTGTTTTTTTTTCCCCTCAACAGAGGAACCCTTGGACAGATGGGTATTAATAAAGAGAGAGAAAAATGAACTAAAGTAAGTGCAGTCATCCAAGAAGGGAATATAAACAAAAGGAGAAGAATAAAACCCTACAATCTTCTGGAAATATTAGTGCTGCACTTTAGAGATTTTGTACTAATTGAGGCCAACTGTTGTGAAAGCTATGCAGTACTGCATTGGTCCCATCAGCTACGTTTCAAAAATGTGTTCAGTAGAATAATCTACTGGAGCTATTATTTTTTTTTTTGTAATTGAGGTTTCATTTTCATATTTTGCCTGTCCTTCAATGGCAAAAAAAAAAAAAAAAAAAAATTGAAAAAAAAATTAAAAATATACACATGGATCAATTTTTTTGTGTGCTAGTATTCAGCTAAAATCTTCTTCAGTTATCTCCTGCACCTAACAGAGCAAAAGCTTCTACTCGAGAAATGTACCTGTTATTACTACAATACAGATAATAAATATTTATTTATGGAAATCAATAATTACTGAAGGTTTAATGAACTGTAAACCGCATTTCAATAGCACCTAAGTGTCTTCAACTCCTTTGAAAATGACAGCCTAAGTTCTTGCTACATATGCACACCTGGTTGGCCTTATGGCTAGAGATTTACAGGCCTTCACATAATGACAGAAAAAAAGAGATTTGACCTAAGCAGGACATCTTGTCTCTTGCTCTTATGATTAATCCACACCCACCTGAAACTATACTGCATGAAACTCAACTCTTTAGAACAGTCATTTCGTAAACCATTTAGAATAAAACAAAATTTATCTGCTTCTCCTGAAGACAGACAGGGAAGTCTGCATGCCAATGGTTTGTTATGACTTTCAAAATAACATAGAAACCTGACTGCCAAATTCATCATTCCACAGCACGTACTCCTTTGGATAGTGTAAGTCCGTAATGCAATTAAAGAGATTGACCTTAATCAGTTATGTTCATTATTACATTGATAGCGTGTGATGTGCTTATCACATTTACTGGTACTGCTACAGAGCTCAGGTGCCACAGGGAAAGCTCTGCAGAGACTCCAGAGCGATCTCAAGGCTGCCACCAGCACCTTCCCCCAAATGGCCTTGACTTGGGTGTGCTCAACCACTGCTCAGGAAGAGGAAGCCCAGCATGTTTCCAGCACAGCAGTGGAAGACATAAAGCCTCATACCCACCCTTTGGTCCTGTTTCCTGGTGGAGAAGCAGTGATTGCTCATGAGCCCTTCCAGTCCATTTCAGGGTGAGGACAGAGGACCAAATCACAACAGTAACAAGACTGAGATTTGATGGCTGATGCTGTTAATACCCTCAACTATTGGCAGCCTCCTGTCTACAAACCGCTACCCAATGTCAGGGAGAGCTGAAGAAAATTTGAAGCAGCTCTTGAAAACCCCAAATTTACAGCTTTGAACAGTGAGAGAACCTGGAATCAGTGCCAGCAGACTTAGCAAGGCACAGTGAAAGCTGCAGTGGTTCAAGGAATTGCTTCCTAACATCTGCAGCTCCCCTTGGTCAAGGGTTGGCAATCTCCACAGAGGACCAGGGAAAACATCTGGGAGTGTTAACTGCTTCAGGTGCATTGACTTTTATCCACCTGCATTCATAAATCAATATTCTCTGACAAGAGTGAAAATCATTGGTGAAGGCTGTTTTAGTTCATTTGCATGACTTCAACTCAAAACTGAGCAGGCACACTTAAATAGTCAGGAGTCACATCTGAAGTGCCTGAAAGGCAATAACTAATGTCAGAAAAACAGTTTCTTAAATTTGCTCCCAGAAATAACTGACCTTCTCAATATACGTACTCCCTTTCAACCAGGACAGTCTAACTCACCTTCTATTCAATGTCATCTGCATGGCTTTTGCTCTGAAGCAGGCTGAAAGCACTCACATGGTTCATACACCTGAGAGGCAGTTTAGGGAAACTGCCACCTCTCATTGGTGAATCCCAGCATGAATGCAGTCGCTCATGGGTGACTATTGAGACTATTTCTAAATCCTTTCAGCTCAAGGTCAGAGAGATTGACTAAAATCACCTCAACTTCCTTTTGTTTGCTTGGTCTCTACCTCCCCACTGGCATGGGGAGACTGACTTTGTAAGGGTTCATTATTGATTTTGATACTGAGTAAAAAAACAAAGAACTAAGCCACCTCCTTGACTTAATGGTGCTAGAAATATTCATATTGCTGGTATGAACATGAAGGAGTTGAGGAAGCTGCTCTGAACCTCTTTCAGCTGTTCATTACTGGCTCCATGGTGTATCATGACACTAGACTGAACCAGCATGCAGGAACTTGAAACCACAGTTACATCAGATGTGGATACAAATTTGATGTGTTAGTAACACGTCATGCATGAGTTGGTATCCTCAGTCATACAACCATGTAGACATAGCCTTTGGGTAGCCCAGAGCTGTTCAAAAACAACAGAATGAGAAGAGATTGCACCCATAGCATGAGACTGAGCTGGCTGGATGTGGTTTTGATCTTTTAATACTGAAAGAGTTAAGAGGAAAGACAGGTTGTGAAGGGTTTCCAGAATGAAGTTGTTTTCGTGTGAAAAAAACTGCTGGTATATGCTAGGCAATGCATATTTCTTAGTACAGTCATAGCTAAAGTGATGGATGAGGAAAATGTATCATTGTTTCAGATAGGATTTCTGAAGCAGGGCAAATTGCAAGGTCAAAGAATAGATGTTCCTGCAATTGATTTCAAAGTATTAAGACACGGAACAAGTATTTTTGATTCACAATGGATAAAAAAAGTCCTTATGTTAGTAATATTGTGCAGAGAGTTTGCAAGTCATATGCATTGTCTGGATCTAGCTAGATACGTGTTTAGAAAAATATGAGTTCCAGATGAAGAGCTTGAGCAACTGGCAAGATAAAAAAGTTTTCAAAAGACATCAAGGCTATATATACAGAGGATAGAACAGCCAGAGGAAGATTAAGGGTATTGTTTTATTATACTGAGCTTGACATCTCAATGTCTGGCTGGCAACTTTCACAAAGATATCAGAGATTTTCATTTGGATAGCAGAAGCTTTGGACAGACAGCTACATCAATGATAAGCACAAATAGGGAAAGAAATAGCCTAAGAAGAAAGAAAGATGCAAACTTCAATGATGTGCCACATAGAAAACTAGGATTGGGGAGATGGAGGATGAAGACGATCTGACAAACAGTACACTGGGAAGAACCAAAGGAGAAGAAAATCTCCAGAAGACAGCCAAGGTCAATTGCTTTGAAGGCAACTGACAGCTGACAGAATGAAGCTGGAATTCAGGCTTTGACATTTTGTTAAGAAGCAGTACAGATGATTGATTTGATATAATATAAGCTTCTTCACTTGATTCACAACACAGATGTACCACAGGACTACAAATGGTCTTCATTTTATCTGACTGTGGAACATGATAAAAGTAAAGGCCAATTCACTCTGTCACACAGTTTCCAGTTTAAGATCTATAAAGATTCCATTCAATGATCTGAAAGGGGTAGAATGAAATAAATCTTCCTCTAGAGTTTCTGAACAACAATAAACAATAATTAAGTGCATTTGACTCTTGGAACTATACCTATACACATATATATTACAAATATACATATATTTACATAAATGTGTTTTAACTGTCTGCATAGGTTGTATTTTATGCTCACATAATTTGGACATGTGTTTTGGATTTTGCCATCGCAGCCATATGCTATTTATTAATTTGAAGAAAAATAGTCAGCTTAAACTGTTCTTCAGTGGACATCGAGGGCAAGGATAAAAATGGTAGATTAGGAAAAAAACAGCTAAACTGCTTGATACATTCGCAAGTTCCCTTGGACTGCATTGTGAGCTATCATTCAAGACTGTGGATGAGGTAGGAAGGAGTCAGAGAAAGAGCTGTGTAAATGGCACAGCCAGCATGATGGACTGCAGAAAGGATCTTTGTGGCATTGCACCCTGTAGCAAGACTATCCTTAATTTTGGTACAGGTACAAACTTTGTTTTCTGCAGTGCACAGCAATTAGGCTGGTAATATTGACGTGGGATGTGCAAAGGGGAGAAGACCTGGGAGGTGCTGGAACAGACTGCTGGATGGAGTTCACCTCTTATAACTTTAAAGATGTAAACCACAATTATCTATATTTGAATGAGCCTCTTGAGCCTCTGTTTGGAGCCAGCTGAGAGAAATAGGCACCTCCAGAATGGCGTTAACTGACTGAGATATGTGCCTTAAAATGAGGTGCTTATTCCTCTTCTTTGACTATGAAGGAAGCTGAGGCTGATTATTTTAAAGATAGATTCCTAGGTTAGGGCAAATGAGTCTTTTTCTTAATCCTTCTTTTCATTTCCTGTTTTTTTATAATTTTGGGGTGAATATTCAACATAGTGGCAAAATTCCAGCAGACTTTGGGGAGAGGCAGACACCACCACCTTTCACTGGTGCTGTATAAAAAGCTCAAGTGACTCTCACCACAATATTATTGTGTATTATTTACTTGAGTATGTGTTAAACACTGATTGTATTCACCAGTTACACAGTGATACAGAAATTTCTTGCAGATAAAATCTCTCGTTCAGATACGGCAAGAACTACACAGCTCTGTAGCACAAGGGTGGTGCTGCCTTGTGCATGCAGACAGCCTTGCTCTTCCCAGTAGCAATCTGTTCTCTTATTGCCCTGCAGAAAAGCCAGAAAGCAGTCCTCTGCATGGAAAAGATCCAATGGTTGGCAATGAGGAGACTCCACGCTCTCACATTCTTCTGACATAACGTGGGTATATCTCCTGTAAACCAGGCTAAGAGAATGGACCCAGGAAGCATTTTCAAGTGCTTTTCGACTTTCATTGCAAATTCTCGCTGTTAGCAGCAGATGCTTAAAGACCCTGCAAAATGAAAACCTACTCCGTGTCTCTTCTGTTTTCAATTGAACTGGAATGAATTGTTCTAATTCTGGCATTGAAATCAAAACACCCTAAATTACAGTAATTTGTTTCTCTTTGTAAGTCATTATATACTCTGAGATCGCACATTACTCAGGCCTTCAGTAAGGATCTAATCCTGTGGGCTTCTTCAAGCCAAAGCTCTCAGTCAAGCAAGCTGGGGCTCTGCTCTGCGGAGAACCCATCCCACACCCTGGTGCAGAGCGTACTGCATGCTCTCTAGTCCCAGGCACAGTGAGGGTCCTCCAGTTCTGTGATGGAGGAAATACACAGTGTCACCAGCATGAGAAAACATCTTTCATTGCTGAGCCCTTGATGTTGTATGCTTGAACAGCTTCTGGTTGCTCATGGGAAATCTGCCAGGCTGCAATTTGCTGCAGCAAGGAATCAGCCCCAAGGGAAAAGTTAACACATGGAGCATCCATCCTCTGGGAAATGGGATTTGGTCCCTCCTCTGGCCACTCCAGGCAGAGCTCCAGCTGTTCTTTCATGTCACTGCTGCGGTGGCTTTTAACCATTTCTCACTCCCACTTGCCCACACCCTGGTGGGGAGGGACGGAAGGATAGGAGGTAGGAAGTGCATCCCAGCTGTGCTCTGTAGCACCTCATCCTTCCTGGGGCATTCTGGAGCATTCTGGGGGTGCTTGGTAGTGGTTGGACTGCAGGGGTGACTTCTGTGAGAAAATACCAGGAGCTGACCCCATGTTGGACACAGCAAGTTCTAAGACAGACCCACTGTTGCCCAAAGCTGAGCCCATCACTGATGCTGGTAGTGCCTCCTTGATAACATATTTAACAAAGGGGAGAAAAACCTGTGCAGCAGCCAGGAGAGAAAGGAGTGAGAAAATGTGAGAGAAACAGCCCTGCAGACACCAAGGTCAGTGAAGAAGGAGGAAGTGCTTCAGGCACTGGAGCAGAAGTTCCCCTGCAGCCTGTGAAGAAGACCATGGCGAGGCAGGCCATGTCTGACCCATGCAGCCCATGGAGGACCGCAGTGGAGCAGCTATGCACACTTCAGCCTGTGGAGGACCCACACTGGAGCAGGTGGGTATGCCCTGAAGGAAACTGCAGCCTGTGGAGAGGATCCCACACAGGACCAAGTTTTCTGGTGGGAAACATGGCCCATGGGTGACCCCCAATGGAGCAGTCCATTCCTGAAGGACTGTACCCAATGGAAAGGACCCACGCTGGAGCAGTTCTTGGAAAACTGCAGCCTGTGGGAAGGACCCATGTTGGAGAAGTTAGTGAAGAACTGCATCCCATGGGAGGGAGCCCACACTGGCGCAGGGGAAGAGTGTGTGGAGGAAGGAGCGGCAGAGACAATGTGTAATGAGCTGACTGCAACCCCCATTCCCTGTCCCCCTGTGCCACTCGTCAGGAGGAGGCAGAAGAGTTGGGAGTGAAGCTGAGCCCGGGAAGAAGGATGGGGTGGGGCGAAAGTGTTTTTAGTTTTGTTTTTATTTGTCATTTAATTATTCTCTCATTTTTATTTATTTATTCTATTTTGTTTTTATTTCCTACTCTTACAATTAATTGGCAATACATTACATTAATTTTCTTCAAGTTGAGTCTGTTTAGCCTGCAGCAGTAACTGTTGAGTGATCTCCCTGTCCTTATCTCAACCCGCAAGTTTTTCATCTTATTTTCTCCCCATCTTGCTGAGGAAATGGAGTACGAGAGCAGTTTGGTGGGCACGTAGGAGTCAGCCAAAGTTAACTGACCACAGAGAGGAATGAAGAAAATCCTATCGCTACTATTTTATGAGGAACATATAAAAGTAGCACCTTGAGAAAAAAATTACCTGTAAGGTAATCAAGGCATTCCAACAATTTCTTCTCCCTGGTAAAATCAAGCGCGAAAGTATCAAAAGTATCGTTGAGATTAATTTCAGGAATTAGAACCTGGGAGGATGCAGTTGCCATGGAAACCCTATAATGAAAAGAAAAAGACTTTTAGCAAGCAAGACACAGTAACTTCACATCAAGGTAGGACTTGATCATTATGATTGTTATCACTTCTCAAAAACATTGACAAAAACTTTTACATGTACTTTATTTATATGGTTTAAGTTAGGAGCTTTCCTGTCATTTTTATTTTGGCGAGTAAAGTCTCCAGTAAAAATCTCTTCTTACTTAGCTTTTGCCTAACGTGCAGTGTCAGATAAGTTTTTAAGAAAATATTGGTTAAATAGCAATATGCTTTAAATTGTTCTTTCTAATCACCCAGTGAACCACAGTAGCAATAGCACCATATTTATCTGTGTTTTAAGCAATCTTGACAGATGCTGCATCTCTCCTAACCCTTTTTTTCTCCCAAGCAGTTTCTTGCTGCAGATATTCCTTGGCACTGCTGTCCCAAGAGCTTGGTGCAGATCCCCACACCTCCTCAGCTGTTCAGCACAGCATGCTGCTGTTAACTTCAAAAAGCACAGGGGGCGGAGATAAAACAAATAGATGTCAGCACAGTTTGTTTTGAGAGGCTTTTCCCTGCAAAGCATCTGCGCATACTTACGTTTCCTCCAAAACTGCAAAAGTTTCCTTACCTACCTCATTTCAGGAGCTACATCCGCTTTTTATCTGTCCAGCCATACTAACATAGAGAGATCAGCTTTCACAAGAAAACTGCCATTAGGATATATTTTTCAGATCCTTCTGCCTGATATCTCAAAATACATGTTACTGGAGAGCTGGATACTGGATATATTTACAGAAAGTTTGGTCCATTTAAGCAAAGAGGTTATTAAACCTCATTTGTTAATTGTTTGAGTTTGGAGGTAAACACACAACCATGCACACAAGGTATGTCAGTTATCTGTCTTTCACGATACATGTCAGATCAAAATATTTTGATTGATTCAATTAACAGTTTCCCAAATTATAGTATTTCTCTGTAGACATGACTCAAATGGCTCCAGGCCAAATCCTTACTAAAAACTGTGTTTTCATATATTTCTTGTATAGTATTTTAGGAAAATGCAGTTAGGAAAGTCAAAACCCGAGATGTACATCTCATTGTCTTCAGCACAGTTTTCAAAAGCTGAGCTCAGGAGGGTTCCTAGTCAATAATTCATGTTATACAGTTTTCAGAACTGTTTCTCTTGCAACTGTGGTTGTAGGACCTAGTTTAACGTAGATCCTAATAAAGATAGTACAGATGGGGTTTTGTAGAGAGGATAATTGAAGTGCCTTTTGCCCCACGTACTTAGAGGGGAAAATTCCCTGAGCTCTTTCACTTCTTTTTTTTCTCCCTCACCCCTTCACCCCCCAGTAGTTCATCCTCAGTTACACTGTGGTGTTTTATATGTAGTAAGAAAAAAACACGTGGCTTTCTTGTAGGGCCTGTGCTAGGGCAAACACCTCTACAAAATTAACAATGGCTTTGCTAAGAAACCAGCAAGCAGGTATGTAAGATGTATGTATGTAAGAACTTCATTGAATACGTCCATAAAGCACATATTTATTGTGAAGAAGACCGCATCACCAGGTCCTTCTGAACTTTGTTTAGGGCTCTGCAAAGGGTGCACTATGAGCATGTCTGTTTTTAGTGAGCTCAACAGTTCGGAGTTTCAAACACCATGTCACCATAGCAGGTTCAGAGGACTGAATTTCCTCTGGTACTTCTGCCTGCTCTATCTGACACTGTATGTGGTTGGAAAGGGTTTTTCTAGGATAAATGCATTTCACCCATTGTAAATAATGAATGACCTAAATCACTGTAGTGTGTGTAATGTCTTTGCTATACATAGTTACCTGTTGTGCTTACAACAGAGAATATTACACTGCAATTACTTTGAAATATGTGCATGAAGAAATGCAATGACCATAATTTCAGGAGACTGTTTTAGCTGCTGGAGCTCAAAGCCCTGGTGAGACTGTTACATGAGCAGTCTAGAAGCAAACAAAATACTGCTTACCACATGAGAACTAAGAGAGTTACTTGTGGGGAATAATTTATTAATCAGATTTAGTCTCTTTTTCCACTTGCAATTTGTCCGCAAGCACTTGGTGGTTTTTTCCCCTCAGTTTTATTCACTGCTTGAAATGATTCTCTGATTTTCAGGGCGTTCACAGCCATCTCATTATAGATAGCAATCTGTGATAGCCAAGAATTAGGTTTGATTTGGCACATATGTCAGCTGGTCTCATTTCTGCTCTCTGAGCGTCTCTCCTGTGACTGTATTTATGATGCAACTGTTCATGTTTACAAGTTCAAAATGGAGCTTCTCTGAATAGTCTCCAGTAGTCATTTAAAAAGCTTTGTGTCTCCACAGGTTTCCGCCTTACTGCTTGTTCCAGCGAATACTGAAAAAAGACCAGACCCTTACCTTCAGATTTTTACTCATGGTACTCATGTGGTAGTTTTACTATCAGATTCAGCTGGGAAGAAGTGCCACGATATAGCTTGGTGACAGAATACAAACCAGGGTCTGAGTCTGACAGATCAAATGTGATCCACTGCCTTGCCTTGCCTTCACTTCCTTTGCCTTATCTTGCCTTGCCTCGCTTTGCCTTTCTCAACGGATTTTCAATTCTCTGAACACGTAATGAGCAACCCAGTGTTGGCTTATTTATAAATTGATTAAATAGCTTTGGTGAAGCCTGATATTCAGAGAATCTGGATACAGCACTCTAGAGTGAATGATAGATGACTTAAAAAAAAAAAATTAAAAAAAATAATAAGAGCAGGGAATTTCATGCTTTGGATTAGGTGAAAATTGGCTGGACAATGTGAAGATATAACATGAACCCAGAGATAAAAAAAAAAAAGCTGAATAAATGAGCATGCTTTTTACAGTTTTCTTCTTCATTGACGGACACATTCTCCTCCTTTTTTTTTTTTTTTTTTGTTTCTCTGACTGATGGCTAAACAGCTGATAATTCCAACAGGACATTTTTTTCATCAGAAAACACTGCTGAAATTCAGTGGGAATGTTCCAGCACTCACAGTGTTGCAATGAAAACCAGACCAAATTTTCTGACAGCACAATTTCCTGGAAAGACTTGCTCCCTTGTCTTTGGGTCCTTGATGTATCTGGCACGCTGAAGAGGAGCTAGGATCAGAAGCAGCAGAAATTCCTGGCACCCAGGGACCCAAGACAGCAGCTGCCATAACTTCCAGACACCCAGGCTGTTGAATCTCCAACTCTTTGAGTGGGCTACCTCAGAGATGCATGTTGCAGGTTCCCAAAGTTACAAATTTCATCGCCTTACTGCTTGCTATTTTGTGAAGAATATGAATCCTTTAAAATAATTCCAGATTTCTTCTAAGGAATGTACTTGCTGCCTGATTTCTTTTTCAATCTCAGAATTTTTTATGGAGCAGGAATTTCTGTCTCCAGAAACCTTATTTTGTTAGTGTGTTTAGCACCAAACATCATCTTGGCATCCATGCTACTTCCTTCATTTTTGCATACTATTACTCTTATTTCACATCCTTTTTCTACCGCTCCTCTTTTCAAAGGGATGTTTTGATTTAGTATTACAGTAAGGTCCTTCCTACTCTGGTACAGCACAAATTAGTGTTTTGGGGGAATGTGTCAATTAATCCCCCTCTTTTGACCACATCTGTGATGTGACAAGACAATATGACAACTATGACTACCCATTTGCCTTAAATTGAGGTTTTTCAGGAGGAACGTCTTTACCTTTCAGTGATATTTTTAGCAGTTTGCAGGAAGCGAGCGTGATCGTTCTCCTTCAGCGACTGCTCAGCCTGAGAGATGAGGGATGTCGAGCGCTCGATGCACTGTTTGCAGTTCGCAATCTGCTGAGCCAGTTTTCTCAACCTCACCACCTTGAGTGGAAACATAAGAAAGCAGTCACATCTCTGAGGTCAGAAATCATGATTGCATTTGCACTTCCGAGACAAAGCTGGAATGAAAGGGGGAGTTAAGATGAATGGCTTTGCTGACAAGAGCTTTTTTCACACTAGCTTGATGGTGAGCCCCTTCCCCTAACCTTGTAACATTTTTAATAAGGGGACAGGCACAGCCTTTCTGCCTCAACATTTTCCACATGGAAAACAACAGGAGAGAGCCAAAACAAGCACAGCTGGACTATTTTCCAACAGAAGAAACGTCATTTCCTGTACTTTCTGCTTACATGATAACTAAGGGCTATTTAGATAACGATTTCCCTGAATGATGAGATCTGTGTTAAAGGCATCTTATAGATTAACTACTTTTTTCCTGTTACTGAGGTGAGTTTCATTAAAAATAATCTTAAAATACAGCTTGACAGAAAAAGACTGTTCAATTCTACTAACAATACATGCCTGCCCTTTTCATTATGTGCTTCTAGTCAAACAGGGTGGTTTCTTGTTGGATATTTTTAACTGGACAAAAGCACAGTAGTGCTGGAGAGCTGATTATTATTACTGCAAACATATGCGCTGGAGATAAACACAGTAGATGTGACTGTAATCATTAGCTGAAAGGTTAGGGAGGGGCATAGTCAGTCCTCCATTTGGAGACAATGTTGGCTAACAAAACTTCTAGTTCCTGAAAGGTCTGGGAGTCCTTCCCATTGTTATCACATCAGGATCATAGTTTGAACAGGAGTAAGAAATAGGAAGGAAATGAAATAATTCTGGAGTTTAGAAAGGCACTAAGACCCAGTTACAGGCAAAATGAGGAAACTAACAACCAAGTGGACAGGCAGAAACATCCAAATTTATAATCAAGATAAAGTTCCTGATCTCTGCAATTAGGGCACAAGCTATGAAGTTGCCAAGTTGAATTTCAGACATAATTGCAACCTAAGTAGAGATAAGAGTATCTTAGTCCACCTGCCTGACATCAGAAATCAGTAGGAAAATAAATCTTCCAGAAAACTTTCAAAAAGCAAATACTGGCCAAATGATTAGTGTCCTGCAACATTGGTTACAATGACAAATTTGCTGTGCCTTACCTTCTGGAAAGACTTTCAGCCACAGGTCCTCTTAAAAGAAGGTACATAGGGCAGAATTCCCTGTGGCTTTTCACATGGGTCTCTTGAACCCCTGAAATCTTTCAACATATGCAACATTTGGGGCAAAGCATTCCAGATCTTAACTGGACCACCACTGGTATCACTTTTAGGTGAACAAAGTAGAACAAAGAATGGGGATAGACTCTGATACCAGCTATATTAAAATAAATTTTGAGTCAATTGTATTATAAATCTTCCATGCTCTAATGGACATTGGAATACATCTTAGCAAGCATTTTATTTTTTAAAAGCAGCTCATGTATATAGCACAAATCCAAATTAATAGAAAGTTTTCTACTTCATTGGAAACACAGCTGGTCTCACTGCATAGAGAAACAGAGATGAAACAATAATGAAGAAGGCCATCTTTTACATTTTGAAGGGAATTCTGTTTTGTTAACAGCATGAGGAAATTCAGGTTCTGTCACACAATGTACAGAACCTGTGGTTTCAAACATGTTTAAGTCAGCCCTTGCCTACAGGCTTTTTATTTCAAGTTAATTGGAATATCTTGACAGCCACATGAAGCATTTAACCTGCTCTTGACTTTATTACTTTCCTGAGCTTTTCCCACACAAGAAGAGTTTATATTTGACTTAGTTAGTTTAGCAGTTAAAGAGTGAACACCATGTACCTAGAAAATAAGAATGTAAATTGAACTCTAATGTGTTTCTGAGTTAACAGGTAGCTGGTAAAATGGGTTGACACTTAAATATCAGAGATTTTTCCTGCTCAGTATGTTCATCACTAATAATCATTGTACTTCAGTAATTAGAAATACACACTTCATTTAATTTCCTGCATGGTTTCAGATGTTATTTTTGTAAATAAGTTAGATTTCCAATTCTCAAGAATGACAATGATTTTAAAAAGAATATTTATGTGATAGCATTTTAATAAATAATTAAACTATATCTAGACTACCATATTCATGTAGACAATTGTCAGCCACGACACCAAATGTTGTGACACTTTGTGAAAGTGAAAACTCTGGGGGAAACACTGTTAGACATATAACAGAGTGAAAGAATCATTAATTAGCCATCATTTTATTATCATTTATTGATGGTGACATCATTTCTGTGATTATCCTTAAAAATTATAATCATGTGCAGTAAGAGAAATACCAAATAAACTGTTGAGGTCCAGCATACTAATCTTGACATATTTCATTCCTCTTTACATGAAAGTAGCAGTAGCCCAGGACTACATAAGGACTTTTAGCAATTTGTATTAATAGCACCTGAGGTCAAAAAGCCATAAGCATGAGGAAGCAGTGTTGACCTACTTGAGATCTAAAGAAAAGCTTTTACCTTTCCTTCCTTGATTTTGGTTCCAATTATTTGTCGTCTTTGCTGGATTATTTCAATGAGCTGGTCACATTCTTCCATCAGCTTGGTTTCTTGGCGGGATGCATTTACCTATAGAGCAAACCATTTTGATTAGCAAAATAGTTTTGGACAATTTCCTTTTCCTAATTTAAAATTCATAATTTCTAAAATGTTGGGTTTGGCATTTTTTTTTTTCTCCTTTCTGTGTATAATCTATGTGTTATTTTGTTTTCCCTGTCTTGGATTTTGTGAAATACTGAAACAAGTCTGAATGTCTTGTTTGCAGGAGGTAGGACTTGCATATAGGTACTCATCAGGTATTTCTAACTGAAGTGAGAAAAGCCCGGTCCTATGAGTACCAAGAGATGCCAGTTATAGCTGACACCAGTGAGAAGTGAAGGCTCTTCAGGAGGTGCTTAAGACATCACAGATTCAAGCCATATGTAGGAATGCACGTAAGAGCACAAGTACTGGATCAGACAGTCCATCTAGCGCAGTATCCTGTCTCTCATTGCTGCTAGTGCCAGTGTCTGCTAGTAAAGCATCTGAAGAAGAAGTCTCAGCATGTATGATGCTTCCCATGAATATTTTTCTCATCCTCCAACCATTTGCAACTCAGCATCTTCTTGAACCAGACACACTTTCTACATCATTACTAATCCTCAGAAGAGTTATCTTCTGTGAATGCATTTAGTTTCTCCTTCAACAGCTGTAAACTTTAAGTATTCCACCATGCTACAGCAGTGAGTACCACAGCTTAACTCACAGTCAAGTGAATAATTGGCTCTTTTAGACGGATTTCAACCTGTCTCCTTCCAGCTGCATTTAATGACCCCAAGTTCTTTTACTGGAGATGACAGTGAACTACTGATACCTACCCAGAATCCCTGTGCTGCTTCTGATTTTATAGATCATTGTTTTGACCTCTAGCAGGGCTTCTTTTCTCCATTCAAGAGTCTTAAGAGATTTGGTTTTTCCCTGTACGAAAGCCATTCCATACCTGCAATCATCCTTGTTTTTCTTCTCTGTAACTTTGTCAAGTCTCTCCTCTCCGTTTTGATACGGGGAACAGAACTGTACTAAGTACGCAAGGTGCAATGGCATGATATGTTCTCTGCTTCGTCTTAATTACTTTCATAATGATTCCCAATGTTTGATTTGCTGAATTTCACACTTGAAAATATTGTCTATTATTTTAAGTGTCCATACAGGGGTTCCTGAAAGACTAAAATTACCAAAGATCCAAGTGACATTCCCAAGTCACGTGTATTGACTGTCTGCTTTATTGTTACCACTTTGCCTCAGCAATGAATCAGCTAGAAAATAACAGCTGTGCTCATGTAGTTTTCTACAGTATAAATATATGAGCCACTGAAACACTTTTTACCACAAAACCCCCTCACCCACGATACTAATTTCGATGGAAAATGCTGACTTTTTGTAAAAACTAAAAAATCTTAAAATAGAAAAGTTTTGGTTCTCAGCTGAAAATGTTTTGTTTCTGGAGGACACTAATTTTTTTCAATGAAAAAACAACATTCTGTATGACAAGAAAAATGTACTTCCCCACCAGCAGTAGTATGTATGACTTACATGTATGCTGAAAGAGTCAGAGAAAAAGGCAAAAAGTTCTAATCGTATCTAGAATAAAGAAAAATTTAAAGGAGTGATTTCAGAGCTGTGTTTCCATATGCACTTTGCTAAGAGGGTAAAGTAGCTTCAGCCCTGGCCAATTACTCCTAGAGGCACGTCACCTTTTCCATTGGGCTAGTAAGAGCCCATGGTGAACAACAACAGGGAACAATTCCAGGTGACAAGTAACTATATTTTTCCTCTTGGTTATTTTTCAGTCCAATGAGTCCCTTCATCTGCCTCAGCCTTCTTTTTTTTTTAATTTCAACAATGTGTTTAAACATGCATTTACCTGTAAGCACATTATGGAGCTCATTAAGATTAAGAAAATGCTAATATATCTAAATCTGGACCAGGGCCGATTTTACAAATAACCTTCTTATGTGAAATATATTGTGTCCTCTGGGCAAAGATTGGACTTGTTTACAGAGGCCTGCTTTCATTAAGGTTTTGGATTATCCTTCTTAAACCTTCATAAAATTAAAGTTTGATTGCATATTTTACAGGCTTAATTATTAATTAAGATACCAGGATTATGAAGAGAAAATACATTTGTTTCTGGAAGGGGTCAGACGATACTGAAAGTGCTGGGGAGATCTGCACGCAGTAGGTGAAGATGTAGGAAGTACTTCCATCGTGCAGTTTCAGGTGCCTGTTTATCTCCTTACGTTAGCCATTTGCTCTGCCTGGCTTCCCACCATGGTCCATGAGGAGAGACAGACCACGGAGCAGCTCACCCAAAGCCTCTGGCAGTGCCAGCGTCTCTCCACTGACTGCTCAGGGAGTCTAGAAGAACCAGTCAATCAACACTGCCCCTCCTATTCCCCCTCTTCTCCTCATGCCACCACCCCGGCTGCATCACACCTTCCTGTCACGCACCACACTTTGGCACGAAGCTCTGCAGAGCTGTTTTCAACGAGCTGTTCAGTGCACAAGTTTCCCCAGCCCCGAGTCCAGTTTCACTAGTGGACTGAAATTCTGCCAAAAAGCAGGGAATCCCAAATGGGCTCAGTCGGGGCAACGATGACATCCACTGCGCATGGTCACAACTCCTTCTGAGTCCATACGGGCGTCTGCTCATGCCAGAGCTGACTCTGGCACTTAATTATGGTAACACATCACAGGATTTTTGAGTAGCTTCCACTTAAAGTGTTACTTTTATCACCACTTACATCATGAATTCATTTTGTCAAGCAGATCTAATTAATCTTTGGGGTAACTGTCATGAAACATAGACTTACAGGAAAGTTAAGTCAACATTGTTTCATTTAATGCTCTGGTTCATTTGAATAATAAAGTATTAATTAAATCTTAACTTAAAAAACTCCAGACTGAGAAAAACCTTGGAAAAAAACTTGGGATTTCTCACACACTGACTGCAGACTTCTCTTTTTTTCTTTGAAATCTGAAAAGTATACTCTTCTATAAACTTCAGTTGAAGATATTTCCAACTTTATAATTTGCACAAGCTTATTAAAAGTGAAAAGAATATTCCAAAATTATTTGATATGTCTGAGCTTTGTATGAAAAAAACCCCAAAGGTTTAATCTGGGGGCTTTTCTCAAGTTGAAATACTCCTTAATCAAATTTTCAGCCTACAAGTCCTCTGATTTAGTAATAACTTTATAATTGAGCGCATGCCTAACTTTAAGTGCACCACATTAGCTGTGGCCCTAGAGGGACTATTTGCGAGATTAGCATTGAATATTATTTACTTGTATGTTTCTGAGGAGTCAAATGTCAGACCAAAGAGCCACAGGCATGGAACAGGGCTCCGCTGTACAGGTGCTACAGAAATACCAGCATAAGGCTCTGCCTTCTGCTTGAGCCCTTTGATGAACAGCAGCCTCTACAATAACTTCCAGCTGGGGCTGGCCAAGGAATGCAAGTTCTGTCTGGTGAAAATATTTGAGGTTTTACGTTCTACGTTTTTCCACATTAAAACAAGCCCTCTTTCCAAGGAGTTCATTAAAAGAGACCAAGAGCTACAATAGAAAAGCGTGGAGACTGTGTCCTTCGCTTTGGTTGCGGGAGGCTCTGAATCATGCAGAGAGCAGACTTAAATCTGGGCGTCTTCCATCCCAGATGAATGTTGCCTCCTTAATCTGAGATATCTATTGCCTGAGAGTTTATGCTGGACTTGGGGACACCTTTCAGAAGTACATTTCCCTGGCATCAATACAGTTAGTTTTGGCATCAGCAAACTCCTTAAAAATCCGTGTACAGAACTACTTTGAACCTAAAGCTTTGTGTTTTGTTGGTATCATGTTTATAAACTTCTCTTCCATGCCACAAAACAGTTGTAAAACTGACTAGGAGGCCTTGTTATGATTTAGCAAAATGATAACATTTTCTACTGCTTCTAGACCTGCTGCTTTTGTGGGAATTTATTCCTATTTCTGTAATATCCGAAGACCTCAAACAGATACTTTACCAAAAAAAAAAAAAGAAAAAAAAAAAAAAAATCAGGGTTCTTTCCAGGTTTCCCAGACAGATGGATAAGGTCTGTTGGCCTTTGCCTCAGGGAGTGGGTGTAGAAAAAAAGAAAAATGGGGGTTCCTCAGATGTCTGACAGGGAGCTGGAAACAACAAGCCCTCCCAACCCAAAGGGGAGAGCAGGCCAGCTGTTCCCATCTCCACAAGCTGAGAACTGCTTTGGAAAGTGTTCTGCTCTCTGCAGAGGCTTCCTTGGCTTTCATCTTCAGAGACCTGAGTTAAATAGCAGCTTTGGTCACAAGAAAATGAATGTGGTGCTTTCAAAGTCCCCAGCAGATGTTTGGGAAATCACAAAACTACAACATGGCTAGAGGTTCAAGGTTACAGGGGAGCTTCTCTGGTTAATTCAAAGGCAAACAGAGTGTCAGAGGGCTAGATTCATAACCACGAAAACTTCCCCATTTAATGTGCTGGAATCAAAGGATTTTTTAGTCTCTCAGCAGAATTTTCCTCGCAGGAGCAAAACTGTCCCTCTGGGATTCCTTATGGGTGAGGCAATTTTGTCCACAAGTGGAAATACATATGTGTCTTTTTGGCGAATAATCTCTAAATGACAAACAAAATATGACGCCTTAAATTATAAGAAGTGGCCTGCTTTTTTAAGACTACACTATCTGGGACAAATTAATCAAAACCAGAGTAATTTTTATTCACTAGTCCTCTGCTGGTTATGCAAAATGGAAGAAAGTAGGTTGTAGAAAGAATCTGATAATTGGAAATTGAGGTATGCATTTGATTTTCAGCTTTACTATTTAAAAATGGCCTTAATGCCTCAAAAATAATTTCTTTGCTGTTGTGCCCATACAGGTAAAGAAGAGGTATTAGCTTTTCTTTATAGGCTTGAGTTGGTGGTTATAGAATTACTGTATACTCACAAATAAACAAAAATATCAGAAAAGCAAATTGCAGTGATTCCACTTCACACCTGACCATCATTGCCACACATTTCAGTCTAGATTTTGAGCCTGAATTCCTTCTTGCACCAAACTCATAAATTAAGGGGGAAAAAAAATAAAATTGATGACATATAATGGCTGGTACTTGTGTTCTTTGGGAAAACTTTCTTCATTGCCATGTAGATGTGAAATATACACTTTCTGGGATTAGCATCTCTAGATGGATTAAAGGATTATACTCATCTAAAGAGAGAGGCCTATCTATTTTTTTAATTACTCCATCTTGTAAGGTGAAATACCTTTCTTCATAGAGTCACAATACATTGAAGTCATATTTTAACATCATCCATCTTTTATTTATTTATTCAATGGAAATAAAAAGGATAATGATTAATGCACACTTATGGAAACTTATCTTCCCTTTCTTTTTATGGATGCCTTGACTGGATGAGACTCATGGATTCAAACTTCTTTCATTTCATATCCCTGTCTGATATTATAGGTTAGTCAATTTAGTCTTCCGTTGAGCAAAAACAACTCTTGGAATAAAGCTTTTTCAGACTTTAGCTAGTCTAAGTGTAAAACTGATTTTATCTATTACGACAAACCGTGCCTTTGGAAATACGTGATATTAATCAGCTTGCCATCTGAATGGATCATCTACAACTCCTTTATTCTGAACTGGCGCAAGAGAAAAAGGAATGGTCATCTCCCATTTCAAGTGTGCCGGAGGCTTTGTTTTTGTTTGCATTCCACATCTATCTCTAACCAGGAGACCTGTGTTTAGAGGCAGTCTCAGAGCAGGTTAAACAAAGGTCAATGCAAAAATACAGCAACTTTCCCTGGCTACCTAGGAATTCTGTGAATGAAGAATCGATTGGGCCAGGATAGCTAAACCACTTCGGGTCAAGCTGATAAGACTATCTGCCCCAATCTTGACTAAAAGTAAACCGTTTTAGAAGTTTGAAACACTCAGGTTACTTATTAAAATATTGTTTTAAACTTTTTGTCCCACTGTGCTTTGAAGCATGTTGTTGAGAAAATAACCAGCAAGATACCTAGCAGTCCTCTGGTGACATTTACAATCTAATCACAAAACCGAACCAAACCAAACCAGAAGTTTCATGGAAAACAAGCAAATTGGTTTTATAAGTTTTCCATTCAAAACATTAAAAAAATCTTAAACTCAGATGATCTGGAAAGTTCTCATAAAGAGCTACTCCAGAGGCGCTTATGCTGACAGCTGTAAAGCCCATCAACTTAGGTTTGCTTCAATGAACCAAGTATTGTTTTTATGAAACACAAATGCAGCATCATGTTGGAACTGTAGCTGACATTTCTCAGGATAGGAAAGCACACTGGAGAAAAGACATTTATTGAGAGACAAACCACAGTTTCACAACTGGGTTAAACTGCTTTGGGATCATACTGCCAAAAAGAACAAAAGGTATTCCCTGTTTTCCTTCCATCTGTAAAAGCCGGTGTGGCCACCTAGGGAAATGGCTGGGCTGAACTCACCTGGCTGACCCAGCTGTGGCACAAACACATGGGAATCAGGTGGAGAAACACAGTGGGGAGGGCTGAAGCAGAAGTGAGGGGACTTCTGGCAGCAATGAGGCTTAAAATCAGATTAAACTGTGAAACTATCCTCTAAGAGGGATGGGTGTTTTCAAGATGCAGTAAAAGGGCCATATTAATCGTTTATTTTCAGTCATTATTTTTGTCCTTCATGTTAGTCCTGTCTTTGAACTTAAATAATGAACATTATTTTCAATTGAATTATATTTACTTATTTATTGTTTTTATTTGTTCCTGCTGACATTAAGCCTTTGTTTCACATTGAGGAAAATATTTCGCTTGGTGTGTTTCATTTAGGGTAGAAAAACAAAAGCCATTAAATAATCACGGAAGTTCAAAGGACTGCCTGTCCTTTGATGAAGATGAAGCCAGTGCCCTTGTAACCAACAGTTCAGTACTTAAAACTCTCATCCAGGATCCAGGGTCTTTAGCCTAGTGTTTAACATACTCACGAGACAACCAATGCCTTAGGTCTCCTTGCTGCTCTAATTGCTCTTCAGCTATTTACATCAGAAAAAAAAAAAACCTGAGGAACTCAGGAATATTTTGTTCCCATAAAGGTAAATGTCTCAAAGGCAGAAAGGTCCAAAAAGTAACAAGATTTTGACTGACAAGTTATATTCTCTGATGGCAGGCACAAAGTATTTATTACCTGCTGCAATAGTTAACCAGTGACTAACAGTGAACTAAACCCCATTTTCTAGGCTAAGGACAAAGTTTTGCAGGAATAT